TGGGATAATGGAAGAACTCAACTCCATAGAGAACATAGAGCCAGAGTTTATACACTGTTTAATGAGGACATGTTACATATTGATTTACGAAACTGTCATCAGAAGGACACATGTTGCTGTTAGAGGTTCAGATTCACCCCCTGGGCCACTGTTTGCCTCCCCCCCCCACTGCCTCATACAGTCAGTTTGTTGTGTTTGAACTGCAGGAATGTGCTGAACACACACACACCTGACAGGGACACACCAACCTGTGTGTGTGTCCTCACAGTCGCTGATGAACACGCGTCACGTCTCTGTCAGCTGGTGAGCTTTTAGTTGTTTTATTTCTGTTATTAAAGGACATATATCCATATGTATGTATTTCCTGTAAAAACAGGCAGTTAGTTTCATGAATCTTCCCTCTGTGTCACTGAAAGGCTGTTAACATGTTTATTTCTGCTGTAAAGTTGGACATTTTAATATGGGGCCTTATGGAGACTGACTCACTGCTGAAGCCAGCCTCTAGTGGCCGTTAGAGGAACTGCATGTTTTGTTTTTGACACTTGGTTGATTGCTTTTTGGGCTCCAGCCCCGAATTCGGTAAAATTAGGTTTTTGTGTCATTTCCCCTCAAGCTCTCTGACTGGTTCAGCCAATTAATGGAGCAAAACCTTTATTACTGGGGAAATGTCGCCATCTATGTCTCCGCCATAAGATTGTCGTACAGTGTTGTTTTGTTGTGTGTCGTGGTTTAGTCGACTATTAGGGGGCAACCCTATTTAAAACAGTGTAAAAATAACAACATTTTTTTCTTCTTTTTAGATTTTTAGGCATTTTATTATCTTAACTGGCTTTAAAAATAGAGCACAGAGCTGTACATTAGATAAGAATCCTCTCGTGGGATTATTATTGTTATTATTATCATTATTATATCAGAGTATAAAGCTGTAATATGAACACTGAAGATGGAAATCTGAACACAACCGAGCTGTGTGTGTGTGTGTGTGTGTGTGTTCAGCCGAGATAAAGTAGTTCATTTATATTCATGTCTGTCTGCTGATTGATGGTTGATGGAGCCTCGGGGGGTCACTGCGTGTGTGTGTGTGTCTGTGTGTATTGGGGGGGGTTGGTTTGATTCAGCTCCAAACTATTATCACTGTGACTGTGAGGGGTCGTAGGTCAAACTGTGTGCTTTAATGTGAAGCTAATTTCAGCCATAATGGATGAAAGGCTGGAGAATCTGAACCCTTGTAGAGGATAAACTTCTTGTTCTTCTGTAACATTTAATTTAATTTGCCTGGAAATCCTTTCACATTAAAACGTCTGTGCTGTCGCCACCTCCTCTCTCCGTGTCGTCCTACGTCCAAATTAATACGAACACAAAGTAAAACATCCACATTCAGTCAACCTTCAAACAGATTATTATTTATGGATTATTTATTTATATTATCAAAAACAGACGAGTTTGTTTAAAACAGATAAATCAGATTTAATAGTTTTTCAAGATAAAAGCAGCTGAAACTCATCACGTTGCACAATTATTTAATTGAATGAACATGTTTGCATCAATGTAATGAAGAAGGAGATTGTTCAGCTATTTACAAACAAAACAAAAAACATTGTAAAATTAAACAAAACATTATAAATAAAATAAATAAATAAATCTGCACCAAAACAAATCAAATTAAAAACGGAAGGAAATAAGAGGATAAAATGAAGGAAATGACAAAAACACCACCATAAACTATTAAATCAGAAATAAATAAGTAAGCAAAAATTAAAGCTAAAATAAAATAAAACAACTGGACAACACTGAAAAAACTAAATGAAACCTTTAACGTAAAAATAAAATAACAAAACCTGGAAGGTGAAACCTTTTTTAACATTTTTAAATAAATAAAAAACACAAAATTAAAAAAAGGACATAAAAAACAGTAGAATCACAGAAGGTTAAACAAAAAATAAACAAACTGAAAAACAAACAACTAAAACGACATCACAACAATACATGATAATACAAAACAATAATATAAACAAAACGACAAACAAACTAGAACAAATTAAAGCTAAAAAAACAACATTTAAAACAAAAGATTTGAATCTGCACCAAAATAAATGTTTGTTTCCCACCAAATATCATTAAATTAAAAACACACCTGCTTTAGTGAAATAAATAATTAAATACATAATAATAATAATTTGAACACATTTATTTCATATAAACCTTTAAAATGTCAAATAGCAACAAAAACACAACAGCAGATCAATAATATCAACATAACAACATAAACAACTGTAAACAAATAATGAACAAAAGAAACAATAAATCGTAAAATCAAACACAGTAAACGTCTGATGTCAGTTTGTCCTTTGCAGCCGTCGCAGACTACGGAGGCCCGCAGGCGTCGAGTCAAACCTCCAGAGTCCGACACTAATAGACCTCCAACAGGAGCAGCTGGATGTTAATACGAAGTGTTCAGGATGTGGGACAAACACTGCGACCACGGCCGAGTTAAACGAACACACCACCTCACAGTATACCTCACACACACACCACTGGTTTTGCTGGTTGAACGCTCATTAATCCCTTCGTTTGATTTCATAATCGATTCTTATAATAATATATATATTAGGTGAAAACCTGCATTTTATTTTTGCTTTTTTATTTTTGCATTTAAAACACGTCACCATTTTCTCTTTTTTCTGACAATTTATAGACAATTCATTGATTAATCAAAAAGCACCTGACAGATAAGGAAATGAAATATATTTAATTAATAACTGCTGTTCATTTTCCAAATCCTCCTTCATCTTTTAGATTGTTTTCATTTCATTTATCCGTCACAGAGCAGATTTACTCCACTGTATTATAATCGTTTCAGATAAAAAGAGTGTTTTTACTGGTTTTAATCAGCTGTCTGTTTATTTATTTATCTCAATGACAGAAGTCACAAGATTCTTAAATCTTAAATAGTTTTTAAGACTTTTGATTAAATTCTGCAGTTTTCTTGTGAAATACCTTTAATTTTCGCCTCTTCATGCCTTTAAAAAAACACTGCAGATGAAACAATCTGTGTGTAAAATCATTTTAATAGCTCACTTCAGCCACATTAAAGGTAATGTGGCGTCTAAAGCCCCAAAACATTGGGAATCCCTGTTTAATCTGCCCACAATACAGAACCTCCATTAGAAATCTGCCTGTTTTAAAGCTCCAGTAACTCCTGCTTCGGTGTACACGATGACCTCACCTCTCCGTGTCTCTGGTGGGAAACGGACTCATGTTTGCTGTGTTTTTATGTTGTTACGAGTTATTCTATCAACACAACAACATTCATTAAGCAGTGTAGCTGGTTGGAATGACGCTCACAGGCACTTTAATGTGGTGTTTTCCCACAGGGAGGCTGGTGGGTGAAACCGGGCAGAAAATGTGTGTTTATTGTTTGCAGTTTGGTGGAAGCTGCTCATGTCTGTGCAGGTCTGAGGCTGATAAGAGCCAGACTGGAGGATTATGGTAATAACAGGCTGCCACTGACTGACTGCTGGGTCCCATCACAGCAGAATGGTTGGGCGGGCTGCGGACTCTTATCACCGCGTTGCAGTGGGCGATCCTTCACGCAGTCACATGACACAGGCGACACCTTGATTCACACTGCAGCTGCACGAAGAACAGCTCAGTGGTTTTTATCACCAAAACCAGGACGCAACATGACGAGCCGATGGTGCACGTTGATCGTTTTTAAAAGCACAAAAGATCCTGTCAGTCGGCTGAAATGTGACTTTTTCGTAAAGCGACGGGCAGATATTATCAGCAATAATCAGTAACGAGCTCAGGATCATTTTTAAGAGGTGGTACCGCATTTTTCGCGCGTGAAACTCTTTCTGTGAGTGTTATCTGGCAAAGCAGAAAGAAAACAATCATTTTCAAAGAGAACCATTTCTGCGGCGTACCCCGCCATCAACTCATCAGATAAGAACGCTGCTCTGCGGCTCCTTCAGCAGAGCCGGTGACCTTCAGGTTAGGAACAAAAAAACCTGTTTCCTGAACCAGAGTTTGGTCAGTTTTGTTCGTACGAAGATATTCAGAGAAAGGAAATAAAGAAAGAAAGAAATAAAGAAATAAAGAAAGGACGCCTGGTGCCTCTTTTCCAGGACGCAGAATGGGATGAAACTGTATGTACAGTTGCCAAGGAGACAGGAGGCAGGCAGAAGGGGTAGTTAAGAGGCTGATAACCCACACACACCCTGTGTTTTCATTCACACCGCTTCGTCCGCAGGAACCAGTTCAGGAGACGCCGCCAAAGACACAAAACACAGGTAAGATCCCGAGATTCAACTTCACTTAATTCCCCCTGTTGTTGCAGAACTGAGATTAAGAAATAAATAACTTCACTCCAGCAGCTTTTTCCTCCAGCTGGCTCAGAGGGAGTAAAACCCCAAGAGACGCTGCAGCTTTAAAAGGACATAATTGAGTGTCAATGACCACATCAGCTGCAATCAGCGAGCTCACACATGCTTAAACAGAAATGTAAAAAAAAAAAAAGAAAAACCCATCAGCAGCCTCAGCTGTGCGTCCGTCACGCTCCCACGCTCACTTCTCATTTCTCCTCTGGTTGCAGCCCGCTGGAGCCTACGCTGAGGAATTATCTGCTGTCAGGACCTTCCCGGGACGCCGCCGTCGCCGCTGCGCCAACAGGGACCGGAGCTGGGCTGGACGGGGGGGGGGGGGGACCCTGAGCCATGCTGTCCGCCGCCATTCAGATCCTGGCGTTCGCCCTGGCGCTCCTGGGCGTCCTCGGCACCACCGTGGCCACCCTGCTACCCAACTGGAAGGTGAGCATCAATGCCTGGTCCAGCATCATGACCCCCATCTCGCAGATGCAGGGTCTGTGGATGGACTGCGTCTGGTACAGCTCCGGGGTCTTCAGCTGCACCATGAAGAACTCGGTGCTGTCGCTGCCGGCATATCTGCAGACCACGCGTGCCGCCATGGTTCTGTCCTGTATGGTGGCGTCGTTCGGGCTCTGCCTCGCCTCCCTGGGGCTGAAATGTACCCGCTGGGGGGGCAGCCACCGAGCAAAGGGGCACACAGCCATCGCTGCAGGGGGGTGCTTCGTTCTGGCCAGCTTCCTCTGCCTGGTCCCCGCGTCCTGGTTCACCAACGAAGTCATCACCGCCTTCCTGACCACGGATCTGCCGGAGAGCAGTAAATATCAGCCCGGAGGAGCACTGTGCGTGACGTTCATCTCCGCTGGCTTCCTCCTGGCTGGAGGGGTAATTTTTTGTTTGTCGTGTCCCGGAAAGAGAACACAACGACCGGACTACGCTTCCTCCGCCGACCCTGACAGATTTCTCATGTACCAGAGGCGGGAGCTGCAGCCGGAGCCGAAAAACAGGCAACACAAGAAGGTTCAGCTGCAGATGGACGAAGTGAAGCCTCCTCAGAACAAACCAGAACAGAATCTGGAGCACAAGGTCTACTCGTCTCCCTCCAAACTCCCCCAAAAAGACATCAAGGACAGTTACAGCCTCCAGGAGTACGTCTAGTCCCCACAGCTGAGATCTGAAATGTGGAGTTTTCAGCTGAGGCTTTCTGGCTCATAGAAAAATAGGGGGGAGGTGGGCTGGGAGAGGTCTGTTTGAGAGGGAATAATTACCAAATGTTGGAAATGACAGATTGTGGATTCAGCCGAACGGGAGGTCTGCGAAGGATGAGAGGTGCTTTTAAAAAAACTGCACCAAACACTGTAAATCCTTTAAAAACTACCTGCAAAACTGCCGCAGCTTTCTCATACCAAAGGAAAAAAAGAATTAATGAATAAAAAAGAGCCAAACCTGCTAATCATAAAAAAAAAGAAAATTGAGCTCTGCTTGATATTGAAAGCCATCATTTTGCAGCTGTAGATGCTGTCTGCCTTCAGAGATTAACTAGTGCTCCAGCAGGGCCGGCACAAAGCTCTCTGGGGCTGCGAGCAGGATTCAACCACCACACAGAAATTACATTTACATTTAAGATACACTTTCTGATTTTGTTACAGCACTTTGGTGTCCACAAATTCCAAAAAATTGAGTTCAAACTTTGGACCACATATTTGCTATTAGCTGTTTTTAGCATTATTAATTCCACTTTCTGGAGAGGGGTCATCATATACAGTTAAAACCTCCAGAAAAAGTTGGAGCCAGTTGCACCTGCTATTTGCAAATATTTACACACAGTAATGGAACGGATAAAATTATATGATATATAAAATATATTTAATAATAATAATACATTTCTGCCTTTTATTCTGAAAATCAACATCCGAAGTCTCGTTGTTCCTTAAATAAAATATCACCAACTTATGTCTAACTTATTTTAACACAACCCACAATCTTTTCCTCAACCTAAACAAGTTTTGGTGCATAAACCAAAACTAAATATTCAAGAATGTAGTGCATATATCAGTGATTAGTTAAGAGCTAAAATGTGACAGTCAGATAGTAAGTGCAGGTTAAATTAAAGGCTCAGAAACACTGCAATCGTTACTCCGAACAGGAACTATTGGGGAAGTGTGGACCAGGAGGAGGAGCTTAATAATTTGGAACACAGTGTAAAAAGTTGGAGAAACACTGTGTAGTGTATTTGGACGTGCAGGAAGGGATGAAGTAAGATGATCTCCATCGATGTGGTAATAACAAAAAATATGTGGTTAGTGTTCGCAGGTTTGCTTCAGTTAACGCACTTCGTTAGAGTTAGGAAAAGATTGTGGTTTGGGTTCAAATGTTTGTTATATCAGTTAAGTTATATGTAAGTCGGTGACTTAGACAACCTGAGTGACGAGCTAAAATACAATAAAAATTTTCCTGGACAACATAATTATTTTAGTAATTTTAATACATATATACATAATAAATTAAAACACCAACAACAGTTCACATGTTCAGCTCATCCAAGGATGCCTGGTGGTGAACGTCGCCTCCGTCTCGTCTGCTTTGGGCCGGCTCTGAACTGAATTTGCTTTGGAAAGCCTTACAGAGCTTCGGTGCATGCTGTCCGTGCTTTAGTTGCTTACAGCTTGAATGTAGTGCAAAGCTGCTGTTCGTAGAAACTGTGCCTGCAGCCATAAAAAAAACACTGCTGACCTTTTTAGATTTAGTGTTTAAAACAAGTCCAGATCCAAAGCTTGAAAGTGATGGCGTCCGCTCCGTCTTTTCCCAGCGGTTCGGAGGGAGGCGAGAGGTGCAGAGTAGCATGGAGAGGGGTAATGATGCTCTTTGCTTTCCCATTATCCTCTCGCCACGGTTGGATGCACACTGCACACACGCACCCCTCCACCACCCTCCTTCAGCTGTATGAAAAGGACATCCAGTCATTTGCAGGATGTAACTTAAAGCCCAATGGACAGTCTGCAGTATTGTGGACATTGTGTTGGGGGGCTGGGGCCCTATAACCTGTCGAGAGCTGCCAATCAAACCTGCTAACGCTTCTTGGAAATGAGAAGGAAAGAAACAGCTGAGCTGAATGTCCACTGCTGCCTCTCAGGAAAAGCTTCAAACCTGCAAAAAAAGATTAAAAATACCTAGAAGAGAAAATAGAGTCCATTCGTCAGACCTGACAGTGACGCATTCACGTAGAAAACAGGACACATTCAGGCACAAGCAGCTAGAAAACAAATTTTTAAAAAATCAAAGCATGGCAAAATGACAACCAACAATCTTTTATGTGTTCTTTAATTCTGTTTTTGCTGCTTTTGGACTCAAACCTCACCCCTATATAGTTAAACACACATACACATGGAACATGGACAACAGGACAATTATGATGTTTAAATCATCGATGTATACAAAGATGGACGACATGACAGTTGTCCAAAAGTGAAGCCAAAACCTTTCTATCTCCCTCTGGTGGCTGACTGCAGTAAAGCTCATAACAGCCTCAATGTTAGCAGATCAGACAAAAATATCAAAATCTGGTTTATTTTTCCCAAAGTTTCTGTCAGTTTCAGTAGTTTAAATTAGGTATTTGAAGATATAAAAAGGGGGTTACACGTCATGAGTGACAGCTGGGTCCTGCTCACGATTGAGATTGAGTTGATGCAAGGGCAGTACTTAGATACCGCAGTGACAACCACAAGACAGCACAGACTCTGGCTCCAAATGAAGTCACATGAGGAAGTTATCCGATTGTATCTGTAATATTTCGGCTTCATTTCTGTACATCCATCACAATCGTCTGCTTTGGGCCGTCATCAGTTTTTTATATGTCGATGGTTTAAATGTACAACAACTTAATTTGATTTGAAAAGGTTTTAATCTGTGATAGTAATTCTAAAAATATCTCCTCTGTTTATGTATTTAGGTTTTTATTTTATTAACCTGCTCTCTATGGAGCTCACAAAGAAACAGAAACGTGCACATGTCCCTTTAAAGGCTCCGTACACTCTCACCCCCAACTCGTCAAATATGGCAGTGGACAGTGGTCCGACGCTTCAGAGTAGGACACACTGGCAGGAAGTCAGACACAGAAACAACATAGAGAATCTGGTCAATTTTCAAAATAAAACACCATGTAAAGACTCCCAATCGAATTTCACCAGACTAGAAGTTAGTCAGTTAGAGGAGATTTGAAGTGGTTTTGTTGTCTTTTTAAGGATAAAATGTGTTTTTTTGTTTCATTAATTAATAAATATTCCATCTAAACCCATTTGTTACTGGTCAAGATAACCATGTGTAAAGAATAAATGAAATTATATTTGACTTTTATTTGTTTTGATATCGGACACTAGCTGAGACTCCAGACTTGTGTCTAAACTTAACAATTGAAACTCAGCATTATTTATTTTACGTCTAATCAGACGTTGCATATTTATTATTGTTTGACCGAACGGTGTTACGGGGCACCTACGGCATCCTAGTGTGAAGCATCGGACCATATTTGATGAGTTTGGAGTGAGAACGTGCTGACACATTAGTTTGTCACGGAAATATTTGTCTCTGTAACTTTACACGAAATTCTGGAAAGATTAAAGAATTCACATTCAGCTTAAAAACTGAAGAATCATTGTTTTCTGTTTTCTGTTTCTACTTTAGCAGGTTTATAGAAATGAAAATTAACTCACAAGGGCTAAAAAAGTGAACAATGCTGTATATTGATTCAATAAAACACAGAGAGTTACTTTTGGGAGTACAAGTCTTTAATGGGCAGTCAGCTAACTAGCTGGTGTTAGCAATAAATACCAGTAACTTTTCTTTTTGGTGATTTTTTGCTGCTCATTTGCATTGTTCCTGAGACAATATCTCTCATATGAAAACTCAAAGACTAAAGACAGTTGAGTAAATAAAGAGGTTTAAAGGGGTGAGCATCACATTTTCAGTTGCTGATTTATCGTCTTGGAACTTGACATTTTAAAAATCAGAATGTAACTGAGTCTGAATGTTTCAGATGAAGAACGATCACTGTGTTTTTATCCGTCAGCAAATAAAAAATATGTCCAAACTGAAAGTTTAACTGGGCTCCGGATTTTATTTCTGAAGTAAAATGTAACGTTTTCTCTAAGGTTGTACAGTTTGACTAGTTGAGGCCTGTTGCTAAATTTGATTATTTCCTGTTTTATTTTGTAATCTTCCTCCTCTTGTGTCTTGTTTGGTTTCACTTTCTGTCTTTGTCTGTTTTCCCTTCAGCTTCACCCTGATTACCTTCACCTGTGTCTTGTTATCCTTCCCCACCTGTGTGTTCAGTCTTTGTCGTTCTGTGTCGGGTCATTTTGGTTTTGTCTCTGGTTGCTTCAGCCCTGTTATTGCTTTCTTGGACTTTCTATTTACATTAAACAATTGAAGTCAGCCTGAGTCCAAGTGACCAACCACTTGGCCGAGCCATTTTGCCCAGAGCGTCAGTTATTGAGTGGAATTCCGCTGAACTGCATCTTCCCTGTGAAAAACTACCATGAAGAAATCGACTTAAACAGGGACGTTGACTCACTGATCCTGAGCGCCCTGAGAAGTATCATCAGCATCGGAGAAGACTTCCTGAATTGTAACAATGCATAATGTTCAGGTAGATGATGTCCAATGTTCAAAAACTATTATGTGGCATTCAACAGAGGAACACAATTGTTTTATATTTACTTGCTGCATTGAACTCATGTTATTAATAAGCAGTGATTTTTAAGGTGGAGCTACTTTATTCAGTGTTTTTAGCGGTTTTAATCAGTGGGTTTTTTTGTTTTGGAGAAGACTATGTAGATAATTCAATGGTGGTGAAAACAGATATCATTAAACTTTAAATCTTGTATTTAGTTGATGTGAGCAGCGTCCTAGTGTCAAAAAAAATGTGTAATGTTTAGGAAGATTTTTTTGGCAGAAATAAAATGATATATTCATATGAATTGTTGTTTTTCTCACCTTTTTATAATGAGCCTTTTTAATCTAAAAAAAAGATGCCACAGGTCGCCTTCCACAGAGGCTGCCATGTCACAGTCATGTTTCTCACACCCACCATAGTTTCACCATCACGCTTGAAAGGGGAGGGTAAAGCGAAGGAATAGTAATCTGCAACTACACTGTTATATGCCAATAAATCCTACACACTGGTCCTTTTTAAATAAAATAAAGTGTGAAAGAACACTGCTGAGAGAAAATGTGTCCCACTATCATACAGTCTGCAGTAATGATGTTTAGGTTTTCAATGAGAGAACTGGCCTGGTGGAAGGGGAAGTTTGTACTGTGGTTTACAGGAACTTGGGGGACTTCTGTGAAAGTGAAAGTGAAACTAAAAGCAGGAGTGGGAGGGTCTGGATATAAATAGCCTTTTTCACTGCGACATTACATCATTAAGCTTAAGGCTCTTTGTCTCAGCACATCAAAGGTAAGATGTTTCTGTTATTTTAGCTTTATGGTTGATTTTGCTGATGCTTTTGTTTATCAGTAAGAAATATGATTATTGTACAGAAGCATTTAATTATCCTGTTAAGTTTCAGCTTCAGTTACAGCATATTGAATCATGGATAAAAACACTTAATATTATTAGTTATTATGGTAAACTTGCAGTTATTTATGGCAAAAACTAAATTATTTCTTTACACATGAGCTCAGAGTAAATGTTTGTCTTTGCAGAAATGGGATCCCAGACCTCCAAATGTGGTGCCCCATCATCATGTAAGTGATTATTACTTAAAAATCTTCATCTTTTATTCACACGTTGCACAATATCAACATTACTTCCTTAACACTTGTCTGATTTCTCGATACACCATATATGGTGGGTAACGCAAGTATATACAAATGATCCTGTGAGTATGGGGGCGAATATTGACCCTTTAATCAGTCTTACAATGGTGGTATGAGCCTAAAAGAATCACATTTTACTGTGATTTAATGTCAAACGGATAAAAATGAAGCCAAAAAAACGACATCATGATGGTGCTTTTTAAAAAGTCTGAATTTATGCTTTGTCTGGTCTGAGTTTGGATCGATCAGGACCATGGTAACTTAGTTCTCAGTGAAGTATCTCCCTCTGTATAAATATGAAATGGTATCATCGAGCTCTGGGTGCACACAGACGGTGGGTGGGGCACCTCCATGGCTCGCAGCAGACAGGTTGAGAAAAGAGGGTAAAGATGAATTCACTTTTTAATCTCAAAACTCTGAGCTCTCCTCTTGCCAGTTAACGTCTCCAGATCAGAGCAGAATGTGGTGTGACTGCAGGTGTTTACTCCTCCAGAAGCTCCGGCTCTATTCTGCAGAGCTCCCCAGGCTCCAGCAGCTGTCTGGGCAGCAGCCGCTCTGTCTCTCCATCGGTGGGAACGCATAAGATTATTTCAGTACTGATTAGAGCTTTGATTCTCTGCACGAACCTGACTGATTTGTTATTTATTAGTTTTTACTGTAATTTGCTCTGTATTATAGTTTACTTTTGTACCAATAGCTCATCAGATTTATTATTGTTTTGTAATGTGACTGCAGCAGTGGCAGCTCCACTGGCTGCAATAACACAATACCATTCAGTCTTATAGAGAAATGAGCCGACTTATCAGTTCAATTTATTATCTTTATTTCCTAATGTGTTTCTGGTCTCAGTCTCTAGTTTCAGTCTTCTTCCATACAGCACGATTTTCATTTAGTAACTGATGCTCCCATTAAAAGTAAAATAGACCATAAAGCAGGGGTGCCCGGTTAGCTCAGTGGGTAGAGCTGGTGACCATGCTGAGTCCTTGCTGCAGCGGCCTGCGGTCCTTTGCTGCGTGTCATC